GCACACAAAGCTCGTGTGTATGCTAACTATCAGAAGGTAAGTAATTCTGAAAATCAAATTCTACATCATTACCATCTCCGTGATTACTGTCTCTATGATTCATCCTCTCCATTAATATATTTTTCAATGATTACATAAATTACAGATAATATAGTCCATAAATCTGCCCAGAAAAGTAAAAGTGAAATTGGATTGATTTGTGCTTGCAAGTTATAAAAGACAAAATAAAAACCAAACCCGCTCAAAATGCAGCCCAGTATTTTTCCGACCACTGTACCCTGTATACAAAACAAAATACCAACCACTACATCGATAGCAATTGCAATTACAATAGCAAGAATAGAAACGTGAAAGTGAATTCCATACTTAATCAAAGACTTTATGGAAAATACTAAACCACTAATATATGACGCGAATATCAATAGAATTAGTATTGTAAGTATACAACAAAAAATATAAGAAGAATTCGGAAAGCAAGCAAACGCTAATGCGCTTGCGAGATTTATAGCTTCTATAAATATTAAATGGGAAATTGATATCTCATTAAAACCGTCCGTCGCAAAAAAGAATAACGGTGGAAAAATCGCAAAATTTAACATGATTGATACTGGAAGAATTATGTCGACGGCCGATTTAAATATTGACGCTAACAAGATTGTAATAAGTATGGACCAGGTGAAAGCCGATGCGACAATGGTCACCTTGTCGATGCCAAATATTGTGCATAATATGGATGGTATCAAAATGAAAGGTATGAGAATTGAAAAGAATAAAGTGACCCGATTTTTTAATAACGGATTATTTGTTGTTATGTCAATTATTCTTATTGTTAAAATAGATATAATGAGTAAACTACCAATAATTATGGAAATTATGGTAAGCTTATTCAAGCCTTGTGTTATATAAAAATATATCGATGGAAAAATAAATGATGTAAATATGGCAAGGGTAAAAGCGATTTCACTTCTCAACCTTTTAAGTTGAGGTATTGGAATAAAGGCAAATAAAAGAACAATGGTGACAACGATATAGGGAAGATATTTGATTTTCAGAATTACTTACCTTCTGATAGTTAGCATACACACGAGCTTTGTGTGG